GACTTTGCCTCGGCTGCTTATTGAGATCGCCCACAAGGGCTTCTTCGAAGCGTTCTGGGACTTTATCTCCAAGCCCCTTACGACAGGCGGTTCGCCTTCACCTGTAGGTGCATCCTGTGTGATTTGTTGGGCACCGTGGTTCCCTTGCCTCGCAGGGTCGTTGATTGGGAGTTCAGCCATAGCCTCTTCCATATAACGGAACACTGCCGCGCTCTTCCATCTCCCCAGGAACATCAGGTCTGCCAAGCTCCATTTCTCCCTCGTGTAGAACATGGCACCTGATCTTCTCGCAGAGTGGCCCGACATTCCATGGTCGATGTTGGCTGCCCATGCTTTGACAAGTTGGTAACGGGAAACTCTGTCTCCACTGCCATCAGCAATCAGAGGTTCTCGGTCTCCTTCGCCAGCCATATAGGTCTTCACCTTCACCGAAATTCTCCAAGGGCAAGTTGACCTACATGGTTTGACTCCACAGCACACCAGGGTCCGTTTGATGCCTTTTCTACCCTGATCCATCTTGGACTTCTGAACCGACAACGACACTTTCTTGTTGTCCAGATCAAGGTCCAGATTGGCGTTGTCCAGTGCGACCACCTCTCCGCTCCTCAGCATCCAGACGGCCGCAAAGACGTATGCCATTTTTGGGAAAGCTGGAGCGTTCTTTCCAATCTTCGCCACAACACTCGGGTCTTCCACAGTGATCTCCTCGGGCTTTACCTCAATGGCTCTCCTGTCTGGGCCTACATCCCTTCTCAAGGCCCTCTTTATCATAGCCAGCTGTCTTTCCAAAACTTCATCCCAAGCCCAACCAGCCTCCAACTGCATGAGCTTTACCTCATTGATGTATTGCTCTCCAGTCTTGAGGTTGCATTCACTGAGGATCGCCCCCACCAGCTCAAGTTCCTCCGTCTCCAAGGGGAAGAATTGGCCATCCCCCTTCACCTTGGTGAGTATTTCACATAGTCTCCTTCGCTTGGACGTTTTGCTCGCTAAGGTGGACTTTGCGAACATCTTGCCCCTAAGGTTCGAGACAGCCTTCCTCCTCCAGTCCTTAGAGGCCACCGCTCTAGCGATGCCGTCCCAATTCAGCTTCTTCGCTTTGTTACTATTGGGCTGGCTTCCTCTAGCATCTTTGACACCACCGGCGTGTTCTTTGGGAACCCTGCCTTTCCCGTTTTGCTCACTGGGCTCTGGCACTCTCTTGGTTCCGCTGCCTCCTTTGCCCGTCTTCTGGCCGCCGACGATTTCGGGCTGATAGACCTGCGTCGATCGGACCCCCGTGTCGCCTCCCCTGAGTGACCAAGGTTGCCATCCTCCTTTGCCGGAGAGGTGAATTCCGGGCTTCCAATCTCCTCGGGTGATTTGGCCTTCCACCATTGCCGCCGTAGCGATATGTTGTTTTCTGCCCAGATCACCATGTTGAACTTTGCCTCCGAAGGGCTTGCCTCCTCCCTTTTCCCATGTGGTTTGTGTTTCCTGCCCTTGCTCCACCAACTGGTGCCCCAATTCACCCAGGAGCGGAGCCAGCAGCTTACGCCTCTCACCACTCTTTGGCATAGCCGCGGGAGCCATTGTCCGTACCACGCTCCAACCAAGAACCCCAGTGCCAACGTCCCGACCCAATACTTGAGGATCCATAGGGGACTTTCAGTGGCCTTCTTGGGCTCGGTCAGCTCGAGAGAGCTCTGCAGCACGAGCGACATGGCCGCGGGCTTGAGTGAAAAACGCCTATCCATGGGAAGCAGTTGCACATCGCTTCAAGCAAACTTCACTCACAGTATTTAAAAGAAATAAAACAATGTTTTTTTTTCAAACACCACTGTCCCTGCGCCCTCCTGACACTTCCATTTGCGACTGTTTCACTCCGAGCCGCCTGCAATGAAAGTGTCTGCAGGCACCAAGTCCCCGGCCCATTCTCCATGGCCCTCCGCACCAGGAGGGGTGAGTGAAAATAATTCCTTACACGTGTGGCAAGGTGCAAGACGAAAAATCTTCACTCCTTCCAGGGACTTCGGCTTGTCTCCTCGGTCGTGCATTCTGCTGAGCCAATCCGTCTCCTTGTTGTCAGCGCCCCGCAGATGCTGCACGACCACCCGCTGCATGCGATGCAGCTCAAGCATCAAGGAGATCTCTGCCGCCAGGTAGTTGAGCTGGGGCGATGAGCTACCCGTCTTCTTCGTGACCCCCAACGCTACTGTCGAATCACTCCGTAGCAAGATTGGACGTCCTTTGAAGATCGAGGCCCATTTGTGCAGTCCTCGGAGTACTGCCAGCGTCTCAACTACGCTTTGGGAGGATGCCTCACCGTACTCCACTTTCAGCATCTTTGCGTCCTCCGGCTTGAACTCTGCCTCGAAAGCCTCAACTATTTCGAATGCAGTGCCGTCCATGGTGAGACGGATGAGCATGCCTCCCAACCCCCATGGGCTTGCGTCCGTGACCAGCCCGTACTGGATCTTCTTCTCGACAAACGGCTCCGCCCTGAACAGCAGGATGTCCTTCCTCTGCATCAGCTTGCACAGCCAGTCAATTGGGTTCTTGAGGCGCTTGTAAGGCACCAGCCCTTTCTTCGGCCTGGTGTCTGCCCGCTTGGATGCCCTCATGTCCTCCAGGCCCTCTGCCTCGTCTCTCAGCACCGATGTCATGGTGCCGTAGAGGGCGTTCACCACCCATTTTGCTCTGGGCACCACCCCTGCTATCCAGCTCAACTTTCCTGTGATCTTGCGGACATCACGCAAGGGCACCATACCCATCTGTGGCCACTTCTTGACTTCGGCTTCGATCTCCTCCAGCATCTTTGCCTGAATCCCAATCATGAGTTCTGCTTGTTGAAGTTCCAGCGTGGTGCCTATCCACTTCACTCTGGATCCCCGCTCTCCTTTTTCCAACGCAATCTGCACCCCCAAGATTCGGAGGATGTAGAGCACCATGGCGAGGACGTGGTTTCGGTGTTTGCGGGGCCCTCGCAGCACCAGGATGATGTCGTCCATGTAGATCTGCGATGTCATCTCTGCTGCTGACACCATAGACTGCAGGACCCTTCCAATTGCCGAAGCCAGCCTGCCCATGTGCAGCGGGGCCGCCTTGTAGCCAAAGAGCATTGCCGGCCATACCAATGCTCCCACCTCTGCTTCGTCTGGAGTGACGGTGTGACGCCATTCCCTGGGGTCTATGGCGAGGTGGCAGAATGCATCCCTCAAGTCAATCATGACGAACTCTAACTCGTCCCAGTTCTCCAGACCCTTGTCGCCATACCTCTTGTAAAGGATTCCTTTAAGGTCATCTGATCTTGCTATCATGCCTCTGATCCCCTGCACCAGGTCTTGGATCCTTGGTAAGGTGATCCTTTCGCTCACTCTGCAGCGGGCGTTTCCCTGAGATCTCCTCATGTCGATCACGATCCTGCGCTTCTTTCCTCCGTCTGGGCGGTCCTTGATTATCAGCGCCATCTTTGAGCAAGTGCCTGAACCAAAACGCTCTTGCACTTCCTCCCAAGTCTTCCTGACAGCGAAACCCTTCTCGAGGTATCTCCTGATCTCGATGGTGGCGTCTTCCTTGTTTTCCGAGACGCTCTTGTAGTTCGACGTTTCCTTCAACACCGAGAACTCTACCTCCGGGATTTCTTCCGGGTCCTTGATACCCAAAACCTTCGGGAAGATGCTCCCGGTGTCCGGGATCTCCAACTCCATGCCCATGGGGACCCCGTTCTTGATGTGTCTCGGCAGGTAGACATCAGGGTCCCTGCTCCTTCTCTGCCATTCCTTCCAGAGCTCATAGTTCAGCGGTGACGTGAACTCGTCAGGCTGCTTCAAGATCACCTCCTTGTCCTCGTCTCGCATGTTCCACATCTTTTTGATTCGTCTCTCCCATTCCTCAACTCTCACCTGCAAGAACTTTGCCTCCTCTGAACCATAAGCGCAAGCTACGTCCACAATGTCCCATTCCTCCAACTCGAAGGCGTTCCATTCCCTTCTGAGTTGATCTCCAACTTCTCGCACCATGTGAAGTCTTGCAACTGCTCTGGAGGGATTTCTCATGCCGCCTATGGCTTCCTGGTTCTGCATCTCCTTGATCTCCTTGTTGGATGCTCTCCTTGAGGACGAAGGGATGTACTCCTTTTCGGTGTCTCCCGCAGCCAACGCTCTTGTCAAGGAGTTTGCAAACTTCTTGTCCGACTCCTTTGTCTCCTGTGGTTTGTCGAACCGCTTCTCTTCGTTCAGCAACCACTTGTGTTGTAGCGACGATGCTGCCTTGGATTGCCTGACAAGTTGGAACCTCCAAAACTCCAGTTTGACGGTCCTCTTCCATCCCGCCACCACGAGCTTTGCCACGGCCTCACAAAGTTCGTCTGGGTACCTGCCCGCTTTGACGGTCTTGGCTTTGCCCACCAGTGCCTCATGAATAATCCATGAGGGACAGCGGCAGACCTTGCTCAGGGAAGGTAGTCCTTCCAGTTTCCCTGCCCACATCGCAGGTTTGAAGTGGCGCACCTTGAGTCTTTGCTGAAAGGCGCACGTGTTGAAAGGCACCTTACTCGCACCAATCTTCTCCAAGGTCTGCTTTATCTCCGGCAACTCCCATGCAGGTCCACACCTATCGTCACCTGGAGGGTTCTCCATTGTCGCCGCCGTGGGAACTCGACGGGCCATGTCGGACTCCACCTGTGCCTCCATGAGCCAGCCGCTTTGTGCCGCCATGAGAGTACCTCTGTCTGCTTCTGCTTGACGTTCTGGTGGGTTCGAGCTGAGGCCATAGATCTCTGCGGTGGACCTCACAGGTGGCGGGCCCGGATTTTTCGACCACCTTGCAATTGAAAAGGAGCCACACGGGAATCCCGCGTGCATTCCATCGTACACGCCCTCCTTGACCTCCTGGCACAGGCCCCGATGTTGTTCCACGCTGCTCATGTCGACCTTGCCATCGATCAGCTTGTCCAGCGACTTTATCTCGCACTTCAGGCGCTCCTTCTCCGCCTCAAACTTTATCGCCTTTCCCAACACATCTTCTGGGCCTGAAAACACATGCAAGTAGGTGAAAACTCTTTTCTGCCTGTATTCATCAAAACTATTGGACTCCTCCAGAGCCTTTTTGACTCGTTCAGGAAGTTTTGCATCCGGCAGCTCCTTTGTCGCCTTCTCCACGTTCATCTCCGCTTCGGCCATCACCGAGGGGTCCTTTGTGGGCGACTCCCGCTTCTGCCTCTTTGCCTCAGGCTCCTGAGGGCTCGCGTCGGCGCTTTGGCCTGGGTCTTCATCGCCGCCCCAGTCCACGCCAAGCTCACCCTCGGGATTCATGCTTGAGCGGAAAGTTCCTGTGACATTGAGCATGACACGTCACACAAAACCCTCCCTCAAGAACAAACGTTCAACAAGAGTCCAAAAAAAAAAACAACATGCAAATCAAACGAACTTCCAACGTTTTTTTTTTCATCTTTCAGGGTCATGCTTTGCAGTCCTTGTCTTGGTGAGACGGGCTCAAACACTTTCTACACTTATGAGCCCTTTTTACAGCTCCTTTGCACTCTCCTCCAGGTGGAACGTTTGCACAGCTCCCACTATTGGATGCCCAGCTGAAGCACAATGGAGCTCCCGCCTGATCTTTGCTTTTCGACTTGCCCTTGCCCTTCGACGGTGGGGCTGGTCTGTCATGAGCTCTCTCGTTTGCCGCCTTGATGTTCTTTAACTCCTGAAGGTCCGCTTGAACCCGTTTGCGCTTCCTGATTCTTTTCTCCTTTCTGATCTCCCGGCCTCCGTGCGTCTTGTCCTCCTCGGAGTCCTCCTTCAGGCCGGGGAACTGTGATGTGACAGCTGCCTCACCAGCCACAACAGGGACACCTCTGCCTCCCGCCGCTAGCCACGACGATGCAGGTACATGCACCTTCTCTGACCAAAACTTCTCATCCCCAATCACCGACAAAAACACGCATGACCAAGGGTCGTTGGCATCCCAATCATTCGGCACCTGTCGACCCCTTCCTTGCTCGAGCGTCCAATGCCTCCTCCATTTTTCCAACTTCTCTGCCCTTGCCGTGTCGTCTGCACTGTAAATCAGCCCCCAACACTGCGGCCACTGTGTCACCAGCTTCTCAATGTGACGGTAGTAGGCTTCCAGGGCTGCCAGACTGCAAATCTTCAACATGAGTGATGCAGCCCTGAAGACCCTCCAACTCGCCGACCAAGCCATAAAGTTTCCCGGTCCTGGCAAGTCCCTCTGCAAGAACTGACCATTTCCCAACGGAGTGAACACCCTGAAGCGATGCGACTTTGCCGCTCTCCTCTCAAAAGGTGTCCACACCGCAAAATCCACGTATGGAGCCGCCAGCAACTTTACCACGCGTTTATTCAAAGCTGCAAGTTGATTCGCCGTTGGTTCCTCTACATCATCCGGCATAGCACCCATCACCATGACAAAGTTTTGCGTCCAAATGTGGGTCTCCTCCAATGTAGGGGGCATCAGCTCAGATTCATCGCTCTGATCAATCAGTGAAGCCATTTTGAGTACATGTTCTTTAACTCCCGTAGACCCTGGCTTTGTCACCGTAGGAGCACTTCCCGTTTCTTGAGGGGCCCATGGATCCACATCGATGAACTGTGCCTCGTCCATTCCTGAGTTCATTGCAGTCACCCTTCTCGCCGTTCGCCAGCATAACCCCACCTGGGTCGCCTCCACAGGATTAAGTGGTGCACCGTCTGCCTTTATAGTTTGGCCGACAGCTGCGACCACTGCCACCGCTGGCAGAGCTGCCAGTACCCGAAGATCGTTGCCAAGGGGACCTATGTGATGTAGCCATCCATTCCATGCCTCGTCACTGATGCCAACGTCGGCCAAAACGTCCCCAACCGTCTGGAACGTTGCCAAGTTGTTCCATGGCCTAAACATCAGCGACTCGCGAGCGGCCTGAAATTCTCAAAAGAAATTTCCAGGTCAAGGCCTACATCTTAGGCCTTGAGCCAAAATGGCATGGCCACCAACCCATGCCTCACTTCTTCACCTATGGTGTTTGTCGATACCTGTGGTCTCTCTCAATAAACTTTAATAAGCACAACCATGTGATTCACCAAATTGGTTGCTTCTTACGACTCGGAGATGCTATTGGGATAATAACCCTTAATAAGCAGTATGCAATTTTCTGGCTCCAACAAAATAACCCTTATTAAGGAAGGACATGATATCAGGTGTTGGGAACACATGTGCTTAATGAGGCTTATTTGGAAATGGGCCCCAGAAGAAGCAGAAATCAGTGTAGCCTTATTAAGCTTTCCTAAGCCACACACGTTTTTCCTGCTCTGGTCTGTGTAGTTTGGGGAATCCTGGAACCTTTCCGGCACTAAAACCGGTTACATGCAGATTTTTTTTCTGGCAGGTGCTGGAAGTAGTGTCTCTCACAAGGAACCCTGAAGAGATGATACGGGAATCTGATGGCAACCAAGTAGACCCTAATAAGCCTTAATAAGGGACTGGATCTATTGTTAACCCTTGTAAGACCTTGGTCTTGTCATCAACACATATCATTTTGCATGCTGCATATGAGTCTGTTTGGGCCCGGGGCATGAGAGTGTCACTAGTACTTGGCAAACCGCCTATACACTAACTTTCAACAATATGAATCAAACAATACATCAGGGTTCAGTCATACAGCGGCTCATCTAACAAACAAATTTATTTAACAAGCGCCCAAGTTTGATTTAGATGCAAGAGTGTATCAATAATCTTTAAAAAATGTTGTTAATTTTAATAAAAAACAAAAAATACATACATTGTTTTAAAGCAATTAAATAGATTTAAATTTTATAGATATGACTTTTCTCATTTTTTTGTTTTGCGCTTTTCCATTTTGTTTCCTATGTTGTTTCCCCGTTGTGTTTCCTCTTTGTGTTACCCCGGTGTGTCAGGGCGTGTTAAAGTCATGAACTAGGACTCCAGAGGCGCCTGGCGAGCAGTTCCTGGCGCCTGGCGAGCAGTTCCTGACGCCTCCCTGGAACCTTAATAAGCCTTAATAAGATTTAACAGTAGTCCTTTGTAAGCCTTCCTGGTGCCATCGCTGCTTGATTGTTTTTTTTTACATCTTTCAGCACCCCTTTCACCCCAAGGGCCCCTTGCAAAGAAGATCTTCTGTTTTTTCTCATTTTTGACAAAAGAAAAAGATCGAAATCACCCAGGCCAAAACCTAGAAAATAAAATAAGGACAAATCGAAAAAAAAAACAACCAAAAAAAGACAAAACATGATCAAAAAACGGCCAGACAATGATTAACAAAATCACCAAAAATTAGCCAAAAACATTACCAAAAAACAACCAAAACTTTAAGAAATAAGGAAAAAACGAAAACAACCAAAAACACGACCAAAACATGACCTAAAAAAAACAAAAAAACGAGCAGAAAACAAAAAAATAACCCAACAAAGGACCAAACAATGACCAAATCTCGCCAAAATGATTAAAACAATGGCCAAAAACGACCAAACCATGAGGAAGCCAAACGACCAAATAAATGAACATAAAAAACAAAACAAAAAAACAAAAGGTACAGGCAGTTATGAACCCTTATTAAGCCTTATTAAACCAGTGGAGGTGTTGGTTCAATGCCCCAAGAAAGCAGCATGTGAAGCTTCCATGGGATATGCCTCCGAAGAGTTGCTTTCTATTTTTTTGGCCCCTTTTGGAATGTTTCCCAAACTGTGCAAGTTCGGGTTTTCTGGGGCCAGCTGCCAAAAAAGTCATGTGAAATTTCCGGACGTAGTCATGTGAAATGGCAAACGGAGGATTCCGTTACGGGCGTTATACTATGTTATGCTATGATAAGCGTCAGGGAAACGCTTAAACTCTTTGTGGGCCTGTCAGTTGTTTTTGACTCACTAGTTCAAGGGCCAAAACCATGAAACCAGATCTGTGGCGGCAATGGGCACAATCACGCATAATACACGCAGACCCTGAGCTGACCTGGAACCCTTCCATCCTGGAATCTTGAAAGCTTTGAACCTTAATCCTCCAACTCTGAACCAAATTAATTCCAACCTTGGAACTACGTCCTGGGACCTTCCAATGCCGAAACCGTACAAGCGCTTGCGTATGGCTAGAAGGCATTTGAGAAGCTGTCGAGATGTCATAACCTCAATAAGGCTTATTAATGGATATCCATCTTGGGCCCAAAAATACTTCCTTTTTTGGAACGCATCCAGCTTTCCAGAGCAGTTTCCTTAATAAGCCTTAATTAGTTTTTCACCTAGTGTGCCCAAAGTGTATTTCTTATTGGTGCCTTATTAAGGCCCATTTTTCTCTTAATAAGCTCGTGCACTTTTGCACTGTTCACCAGAACCAGTGGGAAACCTTAACAGGCATTATTAGGCCTTATTAAGGCTTGGTAAAGTCTACCAGTGCATTGTGCATTGTGCGCGTTTGTGTCCATTGTCGCCAGAAATCTGACTTAATAAATCTGGCCCCCGGAAGCAAGGATCCTATGATATATATATATATATATACTATATATATTTATAGTAGATATATATATATATATATATATTTATATAGTCTATATATTTATAGTAGATATATATATATAGTACATAAATACTATATGTACACTATATATAAACTATATATATTATACATTTACTATATATATATATATTATATATACTATATATACACTATAAATATACACTATCTAGATATACTATATATATATAGTATATTTACACTCTATACATATAGTATATATACTATATAATATACTATATATATACACTATATATATATACTATATATATACTATATATATACTATATATATATACTATATATATACGATATATATATATATATTATATATATACTATATATATACTATATATATTATATATAAAAATATACTATATATATACTATATAAATAATATATATATATACTCTATATTTACTATATATATATACTATACTTTATATTTACTATATATATATGTATGAGGGACCTTTAGGTCATATTATGCATATGCTGGCTGCTCGAGACTTCATAGATTTAAAAGATTTACAAGAATAAAAAGAATTGAAATAATTAAAAGATTTGACAGATTTAAATATTTAATTCTTTTAAATCTTTTAATTCTCCAGAGCTTTAAAAGATTTAAAATATTTAAATATTTAATTCTTTTAAATCTTTTAATTCTCTAGAGCCTTAAAAGATTTAAAAGATTTAAATCCCAAGAGGTTCCCAGAATCTCACGTCCTTTGGGGATTTAAAATATTTAAAAGAATTAAAAGATTTAAATATTTAATTCTTTTAAATCTTTTAATTCCTCAGAGCTTTAAAAAATTTAAAAGATTTAAATATTTAATTCTTTTAAATCTTTTAATTCCCCAGAGCTTTAAAAGATTTAAAAGATTTAAATATTTAATTCTTTTAAATCTTTTAATTCTTTTAAATCTTTTAAATCTTTTAAATCTTTGAAGCCTCCAGGAATCCTCCAACAATAGGGTCAGCTCACGATTTAAATCTTTTAAATCTTTTAATTCCCCAGAGCTTTAAAAGATTTAAAAGATTTAAAAGATTTGAATATTTAATTCTTTTAAATCTTTTAATTCTCCAGAGCTTTAAAAGATTTAAAAGATTTAAATATTTAATTCTTTTAAATCTTTTAATTCTCCAGAGCTTTAAAAGATTTAAAAGATTTAAATCCCAAGAGGTCCCCAGAATCTCACGTCCTTTGGGGATTTCAAATATTTAAAAGAATTAAAAGATTTAAAAGATTTGAAAGATTTAAATATTTAATTCTTTTAAATCTTTTAATTCCTCAGAGCTTTAAAAGATTTCAAAGATTTAAATATTTAATTCTTTTAAATCTTTTAATTCCCCAGAGCTTTAAAAGATTTAAAAGATTTAAATATTTAATTTTTTAAATCTTTTAATTCTTCAGAGCTTTAAAAGATTTAAAAGATTTAAATATTTAATTCTTTTAAATCTTTTAATTCTTTTAAATCTTTAAATTCTTTTAAATCTTTGAAGTCCCCAGGAATCCTCCAACAATATGGTCAGCTCACGATTTAAATCTTTTAAATCTTTTATTTCTCCAGAGCTTTAAAAGATTTAAATATTTAATTCTCTTAAATCTTTTAATTCCCCAGAGCTTTAAAAGATTTAAAAGATTTAAATCCCAAGAGGTCCCCAGAATCTCACGTCCTTTGGGGATTTAAAATATTTAAAAGAATTAAAAGATTTAAAAGATTTAAATATTTAGATCTTTTAAATCTTTTAATTCCTCAGAGCTTTAAAAGATTTAAATATTTAATTCTTTTAAATCTTTTAATTCCCCAGAGCTTTAAAAGATTCAAAAGATTTAAATATTTAATTCTTTTAAATCTTTTAATTCTTCAGAGCTTTAAAAGATTTAAAAGATTTAAATATTTAATTATTTTAAATCTTTTAATTCTTTTAAATCTTTTAATTCTTTTAAATCTTTGAAGTCTCCAGGAATCCTCCAACAATAGGGTCAGCTCACGATTTAAATCTTTTAAATCTTTTAATTCCCCAGAGCTTTAAAAGATTTAAAAGATTTAAATATTTAATTCTTTTCAATCTTTTAATTCTCCAGAGCTTTAAAAGACTTAAAATATTTAAATATTTAATTCTTTTAAATCTTTTAATTCTCTAGAGCTTTAAAAGATTTAAAAGATTTAAATCCCAAGAGGTCCACAGAATCTCACGTCCTTTGGGGATTTAAAATATTTAAGAGAATTAAAAGATTTAAACGATTTAAAAGATTTAAATATTTAATTCTTTTAAATCTTTTAATTCCTCAGAGCTTTAAAAGATTTAAAAGATTTAAATATTTAATTCTTTCAAATCTTTTAATTCCCCAGAGCTTTAAAAGATTTAAATATTTAAATA